GACCTGCTGCAGCTCGTCATCACTCTCGCGACCACGTTGTGCCGCCCGGGCTCAACGCCGCCTCATAATTAATGAGCGCTGCCCGGCACACACCATGGGATTCGCATGTCGGAATGTTTTCATTGTATGTCCTGGAGCGATGACAAGCGGGGAGGTGGCATGCGGAACTCGTTCGAAACAATGATTGATTTCTGGTTTGCAGGTGAATCTGGACATGCGGATCGGCATCCACTCGGGATCCGTGCTCTGCGGCGTGCTGGGGCTGAGGAAGTGGCAGTTCGACGTGTGGTCGTACGACGTGACCCTGGCCAACCACCTGGAGTCGGGCGGCATCCCCGGGTACGCGGCGCTGGTGGTGGTAGTGGTGGGCGGGGTGACTGTGCCACCCAGCGGCTCTCATGTGTGTGTTTGCGTTCCCCCGCAGGCGCGTCCACATCTCCCAGGCGACCCTCGAGTGCCTCGGCGACTCGTACGAGGTGGAGCCGGGCGACGGCGGGGCGCGAGACCCCTACCTTAAGGTGAGAGGCGTGAGAGGCCGGACGGCCCGAGAGGGCGCTCCGTCGCCGTCCGAACCAGGCTCGTGACAAACCTCTTCCTCCTCTGTCCCAGGAGCACGATGTGACCACGTTCCTCATCAAGCGCACGGAGCCCCTGCGGAGGACCAGGGGCCGCAGCAGGCACCCCAGGTCGCCGCCGAAGAAGTCCAACCTGCTGCAGCCCCCTGTCGTCATCACACTGCCCTCAGGTAAGAAGGAGAGCCGGCCCAAGGCCGAGCCCAAGGTTCGTCTTGCAGCAAAGTCCTGCACTCCCTCCCTCTTCTCCCGCAGGCGATCAGGTGACGGAGCCGATGGGGGAGCAGGTGTCGGTGCCGGAGATCCGAACCAACGGCTACACCATGGGCAACGGGACGGGAGTGCCGACCAACAACGTGTCCGCCAACGGCGACCTGGACAGGGAGGGGACCACCCAGGGAGACCGAGACGGCACCACCAGCGCCGCAGAGTGGATCCCCGAGATCCCGTTCAAAGATGTACGTGTCGGGGTCGGGGTGACGGTGAGCCCGGTGAGTTGCAGCCTGTGACCCTCGCCCGCCTCTCGCCTGCGCAGCTCAACTCCCCGCGAGTGGAGCTGGACGAGGACTCGTTCTTTGAGACGGACGAGAGGTCCGCGACGCCCATGGGGACGTCGGTGGCCGGCGACCGCGACCGGGACGACCCCGTCGGCGTCATCATGGATCACTCCATGGAGATCGAGAGCAACGAGAGGATGCGCAAGGAGAACCTGAACCGGTGGACGCTCAAGTTTAACGACCCCGAGATGGAAAATAAAGTAAGACTAGTACCCTGGAAAGGGGAGGTTTGGGGGATTACGATTGCTTCGTTTTCTTTATATATTTGATCTTCCAGTTCTGTTGCCTGAGGGAGGACATGTTCAAGTCCAACATGGTGTGCTGCTTCGTGTTGTGGCTCCTCATCGTGGCCGGGCAGACCGTCATGCTACCGGCGTGAGTACACACAGACAGACCCAACCACCCGGCCGCACCCGGCGGTGCGTCTGCAGGTGAGACTGACCCTGACCCCGCTGCTCCTTGCTCAGCACGTTCGTCCTCGTCGGCTCCCTGACCGCCGCCACGGTCATCCTGTCCGGCGCCATCGTGCTGGTCATGGCCGAGGAGTTCGCCTGGGTGCCGGCCAGCATCCGGGCCATGTCGTCGCTGCTCGTCAACAACCGCTTCTACCGCACGGCCTTCGTGTGCGCCGTCCTGGTCACCATGGCTGTCTTCGCCTCCCTCAGCCTGGTAAGAGGACCCCGCCGGACAGGCCCCCGGCTGCGTCTTGGATAACGCAAGAACGCCGCGCGAGACTGTACCAAGCTTCCAAAGTGTGCAGCCGCCTGAAGTATCCTGACCTCCAAGTATATGTGGTGCGTGTTTTTTTTGTTTTTTTTCAGGTGGTGTGCTCGTACAATATCCAGACAGGTAACGATATCGAGGTCAGCGGGAACGGCACCGTCACCACCACTTCCACCACCAGCATCACCACGGGCACCGCCACCACAGTCTCCAGTATCACAGTGGTGGTGCGCGCGGACCCGTTGCTGGGCCCGGCTCGCTGGGAGAGGCAGCAGGCCGCGCTCCGGCTCAGGCACCGTCGGGATTGCGCGCAGGTCGGTGTAAGCGGCGGGTACTTGCTTCCAGTTTGTTCTTCGCACTTTGGATCCGAGCTCTAGCAGAGTACTTTGTTTCAATCAAACGAATGAACATCCTCTTTGTTTTTTCTTCAAATGACGCCTCTCCTTGCTCACGATACTTTGCTTTCGCCTGCGCAGTCCTGGCCCAACGCCTCCGCGTCCCCCTCCCGTTGCCGGCCCACGCGCGCCGCCCGACCCGTGGCCAACGGGACCGTCGAGCTCGCCGTCGAGGCGCTGCCGCAGCAGAGCGAGGTGATGTCGAACAACAACTACAAGTGCGGCAACCTCACGGGGAGTGCGTGCAGGGAGTTCCTCAGCAAAGTGGGGTGCTCGTCGCCGGAGTACTCGGTGTACTCGTGGGTGGTGTGCCTGGTCGCCATCGCCACCTGCCTCAAGCTCTACTTCCTCGTCAAGACCGCCCTGGCCGTGGCTCTGGTGGCGGCGCAGTCCGTGCTCATCGTCTGCACGTTCCCCCAGGTCTTCTCGCGCGACTACACCAGCCGCATGTGAGTTCAGCTTGTTGTCGGCAGGCACGGTTTAGGGTCCGGCTGACGCTGAAATTGGGGGGGGGGGGGTGTATGCATCGTGGGTTGTTTACATAAAGGAGGTTTGGGGTTTGGAGTACAAATTGACTACCTTTCACGCGGCTCCCTGGAGACGAGGGGCTGGGGCGGGAGAGGTTCACCTCGATCTGCGCGCGCCTGCATGGCGGGGCGGGGCGGGGCGGGGCGGGGCGTCCTGCTTCCCTTTTGACGGGGATGTTCTGTGCCGCAGGCTCACCCCTGCCACGCAGATGATGACGCTGCTCGCCGTGTTCCTCACGCTCGTCATCCACCACGCCCGCCTCGTGGAGATCATCTCGAGACTCGACTTCCTGTGGAAGCAGCAGGCGGCCCGCGAGCTGGAGGAGATGCTGGAGACGCGCCAGAACAACAACCAGCTGCTGCTCAACATTCTGCCGGACCACGTGGCGACGCACTTTTTGTCGCAGGACCGGCCGCCCGAGGTGCGCCACCCGCAACACGTCTCGCCCGGTTTGAAGCAAGTGGTGACCTCAGACACTGACGGATGCGATTTTTCAGGAGCTGTATTCTCAGGCCCGCGACAAAGTTGGCGTTTTATTCGCCAGTATACCGAATTTCACTGAGTTCTACTCCGAAGACATCAACAAAGGCATGGAATGCATTCGGCTGCTCAACGAAATCATCGGTAAGTAAGAACATCGATGGGAGTTTGGAGACGGGTGGAGTGCGTGCCACTTTGCGCTCGTTGTCACCACAACTCTTTGGCCCATCTGTGCTTCCATGGTTGTTAATGAGGTGACACTCATATGTCTCTGTGACTCTAGTTGATTTCGACGAGCTGCTCGACGAGCCGCGATTCGTGGTCATCGAGAAGATCAAAACGGTGGGCGCAACTTACATGGCGGCCTCCGGTCTCAATCCTTCTCACCAGGCAAGTGCGTGGAATTTGACAATGAGCGTTCATTCTTTACTGTCTTCATGACGCTTTTCCATCCTTGGCGCAGCCCGGCGAGGACGAGTGGGACCACCTGTGCGCCCTGGTGGACTTTGCGCTGGCCATGAAGACCCGCCTGGAGGACGTGAACAAGCACTCTTTTAACCACTTCCAGCTCCGAGTGGGTGAGTGCGGCTGCTTTCGGCAGTGGAGACCCTGCTCCGCGCTCCATATCGCAGTTTCAACTCGAGCTGTCTCTTGCAGGGATCAGCTGCGGTCCTCTGGTCGGCGGAGTGATTGGCGCAAGGAAGCCCGTCTTCGACGTGTGGGGCAACACGGTGAACGAGGCCTCCCGCATGGACTCCACCGGCACCATGGGCATGATTCAGGTGCCGAAGGAGACGGCCCAGGTGAGGCTGCGGGGCTGAGAGGCGCCGCTGCGCCGGTCAGCTGGCAGCTTTGGCTCCTAACGCCGCCCGCCTCCTGTTGCAGGTGTTGGAGGCCCGGGGCTTCCTCCTGCAGCCGCGAGGCCTGGTGGAGGTCAAGGGCAAGGGTCGCATGGAGACCTCGTACGTGGTGGGGCGGCGCGCGGGCCGCGCGGCCGGCTTCCAGCGCCAGGCCTCGCAGTACAGCTCGCTGGCGGCCGTCGTGTACGGCATGGTCCAGGCGCGGCGCAGGCAGACGCTGCGCTCCAAAGGTAAAGGCTTCCTGTCGGAGAATGAGCTATACTCGATGCAATGAGGTAAACATGGGGCGGCGAGCGCGAGGTGCGGCGTGAGAGGCCGGCAATGATGCGTTGATCCACGTCGCTGTGCACAGCTGTCAAGGGCCCGGGTGTCTTCAGTCCGCTGGCTGGGCTGGCGGGGGCCGTGGGTGCTCTGGGCGCCTCCGTGGCGGACCAGGGGGTGGCGCTCTGACTACCCCCTCACCCCCACCCACGGCCACCCCCGGCCAACCCCGGCAGCGCCCTCGTCCCAGTGGAACGGCTCCTTTGGGGGTTCCCTTAGAGACTTCGGCGGCGGGGTCGGAACCGACATGGGTAACTGCACGCGGTAGTGACGCCCCACCCCACCCACACTCTACCCCACTTTCTCGCTCGAACTGCCCCCGCCCCCAAGGCATGGTTGTGTCTCAAATTTTGCCCAGAGACCAGTGACCCCTCCCCCAACTCCCCTTTCCCGACTACAGGAGTGCAGTTTTACGGCGATCCCCGTTTGGCTTGGTGAACGAGTAATTTTTCAGAGTGTTTTGTGCGTGGCATCTGGTGTGATGTGATCGTGTGGTATAGATTATCTAGTTCACCACCCACAACGCAATTGTATCTCTTGTGCAAACAGTATTTTCGGTGCAAACCTTGTTTCTCTGCTCCGGGTTGAGATTTATGGCAGTAACTGGCCTCCTCTTCAAAGTGAAAAAAAAATCCCCAGCCCCAGCATCGTCCCGCATCATGCAGGCGTAGCCCTCGCGACGCACATCCCATGTCCTGTTGACTTACTTTGTTGTTTTCCCCCGCCTTGCACAAGAGGTTTTCGCGATGATTGGGAGACGTTGTGGCTTGCATTGTGGCCGGTGATAGCAAGAGATAACCAGCAAACCGTGTATACGTCGGCCCGTTCAGGTTCACGATGACGACTTTGTTCTTTGACGCGCGGCACAGGTCCAACCCACCAGATCGGCGGCGGCCTAGGTCGCGCGCGGAGTCAGGGGCGGAGCGTGGACCAGCAGGGCCGGTCCTCAGCCCGCAGCCGACTGACCAACTTCAGCAGCTTTCGGGAGTCGCAGCGAGATGGCAACCAGGTACGGTACCATTCGATCTGCATTGGACTTCCTCCGGTGCGCCTGCGGTGCGCAAGCAGTAAACGT